GCCACTGTGGATCCCTGTGTGCTGCATTTCCAGGTGTCCCTTGAAAAGCCAGTGCAGTATTTTCAAGGAGAATTACTGATCCAGGACATAAATGACCACTCACCAGAATTCCCAGATAGGGAAATGCTCTTGAAAATACCAGAAAACAGTCAGCCAGGCACACGATTCTCATTAAAATTAGCCCAGGACATAGATGTGAGCAGCAATGGGCTTCAACAATACATAGTCAGCCCCAACTCACATTTTCATGTCCTCACTCGAAATAACAGTAAAGGCAAGAAATACCCAGAATTGGTGCAGGACAGAGCCCTGGACAGAGAGGAACAGTCAGAGCTTAGCTTGACTCTTACAGCTCTGGATGGTGGGTCTCCACCTAGGTCAGGAACAGCCATGGTTAGAATCCTGATCCTGGATATCAATGACAATGCCCCAGAATTTGTGAACACCCCCTATGAGGTGCAGGTCCTGGAGAGCAGTCCCCCAGGATCCCCAGTCCTGACTGTCCTAGCAAAGGATGCAGATGCTGACAACTTTGGGAGAGTTTCCTATGGCTTGTTCCAAGCATCAGATGAAATTCAACAAACCTTCTCAATAAATGAAGTCACAGGAGAAATACGACTGAAATCGGAATTGGATTTTGAAAAAATTAAATCTTACCACCTGGAAATCGAGGCCATAGATGGAGGAGGTCTTTCTGGGAAGGGAGAGGTGGTGATAGAGGTGGTGGATGTGAACGACAATGCCCCAGAGCTGACCATATCTTCACTGACCAGCTCAGTCCCAGAAAATGCTCCTGAGACCATAATCAGCATCTTCAGAGTTGGAGACAGGGATTCTGGAGAGAATGGAAAGGTGGTTTGTTCTATTCCAGAAAACCTGCCATTCATTCTAAAATCCACTTTCAAGAATTTCTACACCCTGGTGACAGAGAGTCCACTGGACAGAGAGAGCAGAGCTGATTACAACATCACCATCACAGTCACCGACATGGGCACACCCACACTCACAACACACCACACCATAACAGTGCAGGTGTCCGACGTCAACGACAACGCCCCAGCCTTCACACAAACCTCCTACACCCTGTTTGTCCAGGAGAACAACAGCCCCGCCCTGCACATAGGCACCATCAGTGCTACAGACTCAGACTCAGGCTCCAATGCCCACATCACCTACTCTCTGCTGCCCACCCATGACCCGCAGCTGGCCCTTGACTCGCTCATCTCCATTAACGCCGAAAACGGGCAACTGTTCGCTCTCAGGGCGCTGGACTATGAGGCCCTGCAGGCCTTTGAGTTCCATGTGGGTGCCACAGACCAAGGTTCGCCCCCTCTCAGCAGCCAGGCGTTGGTGCGAGTGCTGGTGCTGGACGCCAACGACAATGCGCCCTTCGTGCTCTACCCGCTGCAGAACGCCTCTGCGCCCTGCACAGAGCTGCTGCCCAGGGCGGCAGAGCCAGG